GAAAAATACTTAACAACAAAATAAATTAAAGTTTTTTTATGGAGAGAGAACCTTAAAAGGCATTAAAGTACAAATGAGTTACAACTGAATCTCAAAGTGTAGATATACATGGATTTGTTGTTCGATACATCCTCAATTTCACTAGCGTCATCATCATAACCTCCAGATATGCCTTCTAAAGCTACTTTGTTTCCCACTTCATTGGAATTTGTCATATTCATCGTCTTGACATCTTATTTGAAAGTATCATTTGACAGTGAATGATCTCTCCTCAATAGATTAAAAACAAATGGGAAATGTTGTGCCAGTCTATTGAAGAAGCCGCTTTTTGTTGAAGTTTGTTCTTCAAGATTACTGCAATTACAATAATTTAGATGAGACTAAGAAGAGAAGGAAACAACCAGCAGAACTTGCATTCATAACATACATGTGAGTGATTGAGAACTGAAAAAAGATGTTGCAACAAACAACAAAAACAGGAAGTCAGGAACCATGAAAACTAAAATATATTCTACATAAGAATGTAAAAAATGTCATCATAAAGAAAAAATTTAATAATGTATTGGTTGCCATCTTACTTTTAGAAGTTTGAATTCTTACCCCAAGAATCTGAGCAAGTTTGTATTCTTAGAAAAGTTAAGGAAATACAAAAGAGGGATAAGCAATGAAATCTTATAATTTTGGATCAAGAAAGCATGCATGTCTAAGTCCCTCAAAGTTCATAGGGAAAACCCTAGTAGGTTCAATCATTTCAAGATTGCTTCATGTGCCTTTTGATCCTATTCATGATCAGTAAAATAAACAAATGAATCAAGGAACATATATTTCCAGTTATAACTTTGTACTATAAGAATTTCAGACGATAAAAAGAACTCAAAAAGTGAACTACTTACTCAAAAAGGACCATGAACTCTTAAATTGGTAATTTGAAATAAAAAATTTATAATTAGAATAGGAGATTTATATTATAGTCCAAATGAAGGTACAAATACCCTAGTAAGGACTATCAAAACCAAACAGAAAAACATTATATAAGCATGCCAGAGCTTGTCCCTGCAGAAGAAAAGCATCTTCATGGTTTTAAAACTTTATAAAACTCCAAACTTAGAGAATTATGATGTACCACTCCAGTCACAATTGAATGATGAGTAAGCAAGAGAGAGTTCAACATGAATACACTTTATAAAATGATCTTAAGGAACAATTCCATATTAATTAGTTCTACATGAAGATTAAGACCCTTTAGTTAGATTGATCACTTGACAATTATGCCTCCAAACTTGAACCTAAATTGTAGGCACTTTACCTGTGATAAATCTAATTTTGAATAGAATTTCAGGAACTGAGCTTGCAAATGCACTACTTGTACAGAATTAAAGAAATTGAAATATCAATTGCTTTAATGTTAAATTTGTGGACCTTGGATTTCAAAGTAATCATTACTTCAATAAACCCCAATTCTATAGACATCATAAAATTTTCAACAACAATTTTATTCACTCGGCTAAAATGTAAGAAATCATCTCAATTTCACAATTCACTGCACCATCACCTAGTAACAGATAAGTGATTTCAATAATCTATTGGGGAAAAAAAGCAACACACATTCCAGAAAATAACAATAATCTATCTCCAGAGTACTTGAGAGTAAAGAGTCAACAAGAATCTTAGAATTTATTATGATATAATTTTCATTTATAGGAAATAATGATGAGTCATAAGTAGCATGTCAACAGAGCCTCAGAAAGTAATTAAACCTCAAAGATACCAGCACACTGGTGGAATGCTTTTTACAGAGTGTCAAAATTTGCAAAGTTGATAAAAGGGATTAAGTTAAGACACAAAGGGCCCTAGTGGAACTACATAGTTTCTCTTTTTCATATTAGGATAAAATTAAACATGATATGAGAATGTGAAGATATCCTCACAAAAACTAAAGAAACTTATAGCAAATGATATGCTGACAATGATAACCATGACATTAAAACTGACATTCTACAAATATTAATGAATGCATATGCAATACATCTATTAATTACTTGAATCGAAAAAACCAGCAGTAATGACTTTAAAAATTTTGGGCATGGCTGGTGTAGCACACTAACCGAAAGAATCCATGCACATCCTCTGCTAGTTCCTCCATACGATAATAAAACTCACTTATATGTGTCCACGGATCAGTTACAACCATGCAAGGACATCCCATAGATGATGCAGATGGCTACCTCAAAGCTACTGAACATAAATTCGGTTCATTTGCAATGATACTTCAATGGAAACGATCATACTCCAAGTCACTCGACAGTAAAAGGAAGGCAACTAAAACAAATTCCATTACATTGAAATTCAACTGAAATATCATAAATGAATTCCAAAGCGACTGAACTCACTAAAGATAGCTATTAACATAAATAAAAACAAGAAGTGTACCAGAAAGTGAGAGCTCGTGTGACACCAGTAGAACGACCTTCGACTTCATGAAACTGAGCGGACTCGGCTTTGCAGAAGCGATCTGCGGAGTTCGTTTCTCGGCGCCTTAAATGACATGCCGAGCAGAGTCTATACCATCAACAGTAGCAGAAACGTTCCGATCACACGAATCGAAGCCGACTCTCATGAAGAAGGCAATAACCGTTGAAACAGAAAGCATTAGGAGAAGAGCCAAAAGCCATCGGTTCTATAAGTGGTGGTGGCCCCATCCAACGGCGGCGTGCTTCGCCATCGTCTTCTTCTCTTCGGTCTAGGGTTGAGATTAGACAGTGAGAGATTGGGTAATGCCACGTTTGGCATCTGAGGGGTTTGTTTATTGGCAAAATCGAGCAGCTGAAGGTGTACATTTGGCGGTGTATGATGGAACACTTGGAAGAAGATTTTTGGCTTTGGATTTCGGTTCCTTCTTTTCGAATTTTCTTTTTGACTCGGATTTTTTTACTGGGCGCGACACTTAAAATTTGTAAACTTGCGGCGTTTGTAAACACAAACGCCACTATAGTACAAGTGTATAGCGGCGTTTGAATAAAAACGCCACTAAAGTACGAGTCTTTAGAAGCGTTTGTATAAAAATGTCAATAAAGTACGAGTCTTTAGCGGCGTTTGTATAAAAATGCCACTAAATTACGAGTCTTTAGCGACGTTTGTAAACACAAACGCCACTATAGTACAAGTGTATAACGGCTTTTGAATAAAAATGCCACTAAAGTACGCGTCTTTAGTGGAGTTTGTATAAAAACGCCACTAAAGTATTAGTCTTTAGCGGCGTTTGTATAAAAACGCCACTAAATTATGAGTCTTTAGCGGTACAAACGCCGCTATAGTACATGTGTATAACGACGTTTGTATAAAAACGCCACTAAAGTACAATTCTATAGCGGCGTTTGTATAAAAATGCCACTAAATTACGAGTCTTTAGCGGCGTTTGTATAAAAGCACCACTAAAGTACTACTCTTTTGCGGCGTTTGTTGAAAAAACACCACTATCGATGAACCTATTGCGGCGTTTTTATAAAAACGCTGCTAAAGTTACCATTTTGTATATGTTTAAAATTAGTAGTGTTTACTCCTAAAACGCCGCTGTAGAACAATTTTGCTGTAGTGAATACTAAATTTTTTTAATTAGATGAAGCATTTAATAAGAAATTTCAAAAAAAAAAAATAGTAGTTTCAACTATGAAACTTCAAAATCATTTGTGCTTGGATCTTTTTGAACGATCAAATGGATATTAGTTGTTTATGCCGAAGAACTTATATCAATTTCGACATAATCTTAAAGGTCTCGTTTATGATTTCTTTTCGACAAACTGATTTTAAATTTTAGATTTAAAATAATAAAATCCATAAATATTAAGAGAGAAATATAAAATAATGAAAGTTTTATTTTTTGATGTGTAAAATAACGAGTTGGATTTCAGTATTTATAAGGGTAAACCAATAATTATGCGAAAGCTATTATTATAAGAAAATCTCAACCGGTCTCAAAATCTACTTAAATAAAAACAAAATCTTATCCAAAATATTATATGATTTTTTATTTACATTATCCAATAATAAATATTTTTTATTAATCTAAAATTTATTATAAAGTAGTATTTATTTTAAGAAATCCCGATCATTTAACAGTGAATGCTCAATCATCTTTACAGTTGCTAGTGCTCGAACTCATGATTTCTAAAAACAACAACAATTCTTTGACCAATGAAATAAGTTGGTTCGTGCATCCAATAATCAATCATTAATGCAAAGAAATAGATTTTAGAAAACGAAAAAAAGAGCACCAATTCATCAAGTTGATCTCATAATGAACACTCAAAAGTTGAGATATGAAATCATTAATAACTTTTAGCAATTCATCCATTCAAATCGATAAATTCATTATGTTTGTTTCAAAAGGAGCATTCAAATCTTAGACTATGAACTCATTAAGAACATAAAAATCCATCCTTTAACAATGATAGATTCATCAAATACATTTCACTAAAACCACTCAAATCATGGACTATAAACATAACAAAACAAGAAAACAAATCCAAACACAGTAAAGACAAACAAAGGAAACCATCCAAAAACAATACCATATAACAACACTCCGCCCCCACAAAATAAAACTTCCCAACAATCGAAATCTGAGAATACCCAATCAAATCGTACGGCCTTCCAAGCTTGCAGCTTATCTTGTTTTGAATTTCATGCCAAAATGGCAACAACTGATTCTATTCTTCAACCCCATACTCTTCAAAGTTTTGAATTTCAGATACACCTTTATCACTATAAAACGGTTGTTATTTTACCCGAATATTCAAACAAGCGTGTTGCTAATATGTTAAAGTCGAGAAAATTAAGTTTACAAATCACAAAAGCTTATTACAATTCTCCTAATAAAGCTGATTCTAATCACCATACTGGAGACTAGCTAGGAAGAAAAATATGCATTCATTACAAAGTGAATAAAGATAAGAGCATTACTGTTAATGTTGCATTTATGCAGCTTTATGATCGCTGAAGAACTAGCTAATTAATTCACTCTGAAATATAGCAGTCCTCAATATCTCCTCGTCTATAAATCCAGTAGGAACTCTGACAACGACATCTTGAAGCACTAGCTCATTCACAGTCGATATGCTGGCATGGTGCACCTGAAGCTCTAGGGCTCTAAGAGCACTCATCAGTCTTGCAGCTGGGAAATTGACATCAGGACATTGAACTCGAATCATGGCATCTGACCCTACAATCTTCACGTCGACTTTCATCGGTGTTGGCCCATAATTTGAGGTCTGCCTTGTATTTTCAATGACGCTTGGCTCGGATTTTTGTGATTGAACTTTGAGGTTAATCTCCAGTTTTTCAATTTTGGATCGAAGCTCCTTGATGTAGGCTACTGCATCTGAAAGCAATGATGCTTTGTCCATCTTGGACACGTTAGGAACCACGGATCGAAGTGCATAGAATCGATGATTCAGCTTCTCACGTCGCTGCCTTTCAGCTTCCACGTGGCTTGAAGGGATTGTTTTTCCACTCCCCGGCTTTCTTCCTCTCTTCTTCGACTGAACGTTGAACACCGTGTCCGCCGCGGAGGCGAAATTACCTTCGGAATCAGCACCGGAGTCCAATGACGAGCGAACTAATAAATTCTTAGTATCTTTGTACGTCTCACTTTGTTGCTTATTATCATCCAGAATCCACACCTTCTGGTCACTTGAAACCTTCCCGAGATCATAATAAGGGATAACTTGGTCTGCAATTTGGACCTGAGATTCAAAGCAAGGCAGCTTTGTAATCTCAGAACCGAAAACTGATTTGGCAAGTTGCAGCATGCCCCAATTCTCTAGGATCAATTCTGAAGATCCCAATTCAAGTACCCCGAAGGAGGTGGAGAGGCAGACTAAGGTCTGAATTCCTCGCATTTGAGCTTCTTTAACTAGGTCACATTCGTACAATCGCAGCTCCTCGTCTCCACTCAACCATATGTAGGAGCCTGAGCCGAAAGCCTTGCCAACAATGCCATCTCCAATGGCAAAAACTCGGGTTATTGATCCGGTGTAATACCACTCGTAGTCAGTGACATCGGCATCCACCATTCTTTCAATGTCCATCTCTTCACTGAAGAGAGACTGCACCTCTTTTCCCAACCTGTTCCTCTCAAAACTGGACACAAATCTGGGTTGGCCAAGCTTATTATTGCCAGATTTGCCTGTAAAAACCCTGGTCCCTTGAAAATATCCATCGCCCCATGATAACACAAGGTGGTTATGAGCATTCCTGGAAGCTTGCCAGAAAATGGAATATACCCACCATTCAGGCCTGCTTTGGAGGAGGAACTGTAGGCGTTGCTGCAGCGTTGGGGAGGCGTCTAGGCCGAAGGTAATGTGAGAAGATGAAGAAAAAGAAGACATGATATAGCTACCCTATGCAAGACAAATTCTTCCTACTCTTTATTGGACAGCAAGGGACATTAAAAAACAACACAAGAAGGGATTCGGCGACACCAAAAATATAGGAGGAAAGGAAAGGGATGAGCAGGCAGGCAGGCAAGGAGTGGGGGCGGGGTGTTGGAAGAGAAGATGAAATTCCTGCGCTTTAAAAGGGCATCATCCATCTGAGAACTGTTTTCGGCCATGATTGGCACATTTATCACGTGGAAACATTTGTTCTAGGTTCAGCTGATCAGCCCCAAAGTTAAAAATGTTTGATTTTGATGCGCATCGTCTCAATTCGTTGCGAGGTTCAGCGCTCCACGCATCGTTTTCAAATTCAATTCACCACTTCTGGACATTTTCCTGTTCTTCTCTTTTCCGTATCCCTTTTATTAATTAACAATTATTTGTCTTCATTACTATCTAATCTCAGCAACAATTCTTATTTATTTAACTAATTATGTCCAATTCATAAGCAGTTTCAAGGTGTAACTGATTAGTTTCCAGCTTATTTTTCATGTTCAAAAATCACTTTTCCTCCATTCGGGACAAATTGCTGCTTAAGTACTATTATTCATAAGAGTTCTAACTTTAGTTGGTATATATATATCCTATTCAGTCGTCTATTTTCATTTATCTAACAATTTTAAATATATGTAAAATTATGTAAGTAGAATGTAACTCATATATATATAGATATGATATTGCTAAAAATGTAAAACTCTTTTAGTTTTACATATATTTAGGATCGTTAGATGAGTGAAAATAGATGTATGAGATTAACAGTAATAAATGAGAATATATTCACTAGAAAAAGAAAACAATGAGAAGATCTAATTGAAGTTTAAGGGCTATTTGGATGTAATAAAACCTAAAGACATGTTTGAATAAACTAATAAAGGATTATTTAGTATACTAATTTTTGTTTTTGTGTGTGTTTGAAGTGTTATGTAAATTTATAAATTGAATATAGAATTTTACGGTGCAGAGTTTACATATAAAAGTTAATCTATTTCGAGTCGTCTAAAAAAATATATCATCCCTCATAGGGAGATTCTCGGGCTGTGAATCAAAGACAGCCAACTGTATTTCCGCATCAACCAGTATGGAATAAACTCGATCAAGTGAGAGTGTGTCGACGTAATGACAAGCATAAAAGACTGATATTCTCTTGGCAATCCTTTCAGGATAACAACCACATGCTCTACCTACGAAACCGGACTACTACATGATGCAAGTGCATTACAGACTTCTTTTATACGAGTGAGGTACACATGCATCAAATCATCACCCTTCCTCAGTGATTGCATCTTATAGTTCAAATTCATCACTGTAGTTGTGGATTTATTATCAAAAAACTAGACAACTGTACTCCACACAGCTGCTGCAGACTCAGCTCCAACAAACTGTGGCAGGAGGGGAGCACTAATTGTTGATAAGAGCCACGAGGCAAGAGCACTATCTCGCGCCATGAAATCCTCAAACGCCTCGTTAACAACATACGTACCTTCTTGTTGAGTTAATCTATCGATGAAATCGGCCAAGAGGGGGTGAATTGGCAATTAAAAATTTGGTGGAAGCTTTTGCAGAAAATTAAAAGTAATTTGCACAGCGATTTAGAGTGGTTCGACTTTCTCAACCAAAGTCTATGTCCACTACCTTAGCTATCCACACTAAGGATTTTCCAACAAATTCACTAATTTGTTCTTTCTTTTGAGGACAAAGAGATAACCTTACAACTCCCTCAAGAATATACCCAATTCTTGAGAACACTCTTTCTCAAAGAGAAGATTACAAATTCGCAAACTTAATGAAATACCTCACAAGGAAAATGTGTTTGCACAATTCTAGAACAAAGAAAGAACACTCAAGAATAATACAATTGAGCACAATAAGTGTTCTTGAAAGAAAAAATGAATATTGAATGAAATAGGCTTGAAAATGCTCAAACTTGAGGTTTGATGCTTTCTCTTTGATTATCTCTTGATTCTTGTTTCTTGTTGTTAATCAATGGCTTCTAAGCTTGTTTAAATACTCTTTCAATTGATTCTGAACGTTGGGGATGATTAGTGGAGTCAATGGAGCTGTTATTGTGTGAAAACAATTAATAAAATCAGTGGGAGCGTCTGGTACATCGATGCATAAGGCTAGTGCATCGGTACACTATGTGTAAAATTCAAATATTTTGACCGTTGGGCCCTTAGTGCATCAGTACACTGATAGTGCATCGATGCATAAATATACTTCGATGTTTTGAAAAAGTCTGGGTGCATCGGTGCATAAAATCAATTCGATGTTTTAATATATATGGAGTGCATCGATGCATGGTATGTGCATCGGTACAGAAAAGCCATTTGATGTTCAATTAAAACAAGGGTGCATCGATGCATTGATTCATGCATCGGTACACTTACCTGAAAAATTGATTTTAGGCTCGTTTTTTGTTCGAAATACTTTGTGAAAATTGTTTCAAAAATATTTTTAAGTATAAAACATAATTTTACACATTAGTAAGGATTGAAATTGAACTTTGAAAGACTTGGAGTAATATTTTGATATTCGAATAATTATATCGAATATACTTAGAAAATCTTTTGTAAAATCTTAAAATTTATTTACCTTAATTTGTTATATCGAAACATCAAAATGTTTTCAACAATCTCCCCCTTTTTGATATAACAAAACATTTTAGTAATTTTAAGATTTTTGAAATAAAGTTTTTGAAATTACTCCTTGTTACTTTAACACTTCTCGCCCTTTAACACTTCTCCCCCTTTTTGTTAAATCAAAAAGACTCTAAAAACGTTTTTTAAACAAGGTTTTGAAAAATTAGCCAATTTGATATTTAGAAATTTAAAGCTTAAGCTGCTAAGATCACAATCAAGAGAAAGGTTAGACATTAGTTCTATCAATATTCACAATAAAAAATGTGAAATGGTAAGAATTGGCCATATGCTAAATGATGCAATAATTAAAAAAAATTCAAACACACCAAATATGCATTAAGTTCAAATATCCAAGTATCCAAAACATAAATCCAAACAAATAATCATCCAAAATAAAAACAATCCAAGAACAACAAAATGTTTATCAATCCAAGTTCTAAAACCAAGAAAGCATGACAAGCAAGGATCTACTCCATCAGAGGATCGGGATGAGGAGGATAATGTGCTCGCACTTCAAGAGTGAGAGCATCCATACGTTCACGCATCTCCCGTTGAAATTCAGTTAGCTGAGACTCCATGGAAGCAAACCTCAGATCAAGCGATTCTAGGAAAGATCGAAAATATGGAGGCGTTTGATCTTCTTACTGTTCCGGATCTTGATGTTGCTCTGGCTCGTCGTCGGGTACGTGATCGTCAATATCTTGCATAAGCTGTTGAAGATCGGGATCATCGTCAGCAGCCGGTACCGGAGGAAGAGGAGGAGCACGAGAAGAGTTAGGAGCAGCTCGTGAAGAACTGGCTCCCGGAGTTTGCTTATTGGGTCGATAAACCCATTGGCCAGAATCCTCATCATGTTTCCAGTTAGCTTTCTTCAAGGAAGTGAGATTGATTTGGTTTTGAAGATGGATGAGATTGTCGAGAGAGACTCTAAGACCGAGTTTGATAAAAAGCTAAGTAGACACCCATAAACTAAAGTTTCTACATGTTTGGATGAGATTACATTTATGGTATCTACTAGTTCACTAAAATGATATGTGGCAAATTTATCTTTCTATTATGCTGGATACAATGTATCCACCATAAATATCTTACACGAAGAGTGGAGTACCTATATCCGTATGATCGAAACCACCAAGAAATCATTAAATGCAGAAAACGATCGTGATGTGTACGTAAGGTACTAACACTAGCATTGCCACAGTTTCTTTCTCATTATATAAACCACTGTCATCTAGCCCAAACTGTTTAGCTATAGTGTCGGAGTCAATATGAATATATTGTCCTAAAAGGTAGGATCTGATTCCTATAGTCCCGCATTGACTCTCGTTTTGAATACATACCGCTTTAGAGTAAAAAATACGGACCAGCTGATGATAGACAATTGGTTTAAAGTAAAACAGTTTATCAAACTTCCAGGATTTGAGAGTCTGAAGGTATTCAAAGTTAATATATACCATGGCTTGAATAGAAGGAATACATTCTTCCCAGATTTTGTATGTTCGGAAAGAATCCATGTACCTATGGTAGAGTTCTTCTCTATGACGACCAGGCATATTAAAATAGGAGTTTAGAATTGTCATATTGGGATCGTTTGGATTTAGAGGTTGAGGAGGAATAGGATTAGGAGGTCAGTTAGAATGACTCGAAGAAGTCCTAGGGCGTTTCGGGTTGGACATGGATTAGGAATCAAAATTGGATGGGTAACCTGCAAATTTAAAAACATGTATGCAATATAATCAATCCCAAAACTCAAAAGAGTCCGCAATAATTCAAGATTCTCTAAACCGAATCCTAATGGGCAAGATTTTGAAAACTATTTGAAAAATCATAATACGTATAGTTTTCATGAAAACAACACAATTAAATCAAAAATCAATAATTTTCGAAACTATTTTTTTAATTTCGAAATTCAAGGAACATTTTGAAAATTGTTTGTTTTTGACGAAATTGATTGTGAAATATAGTTTAGAATCATAATATCATCAATGCCGATATAATGTTCATCCTAGAACTAATCTAAACTAGTTCTAAAATCAAAATTTGATAAAATAGGGATTTTTAGAAAAATACCTTGAAAAGTTTGGATTTGTGAGAATGAGATGTTGTTTTGCACGATTTAATGATATTAGCAGGATTTGGAGATGTAATGCTCGAAGATTCTAACTTTAAAACGTTGATTTTGGTCAAATAGAGAGTATAGGGTGATAGAGGGACGAATGGTGGTTTGAGTGGTTTTTTAGGGGTTTGAGAAAAATGAAGGAAAACAAGCATTTATCCCAAAACCCGACGGATACATCGATGCATGGCCTTGTG